TAATGAAGGAGGCAAGATCTGCCAAAGCTTGCTCACTGCTCAGCCAACGCAGATTTTTCACTTTCAAGTCCCTATTGCAAAAATAACCAGACACGTAACTAAACCAACATATGCTGATATTTAAATTTAACACATAGAATGAATACTTACGGGGTTGGATGACTCTTTCCATAATAACGATGTTCAAGAAGAAAACACAGTGCTTTGTGCCTGCGTGCATAATCAATCCAAGATCCAGTTTTCATCCACATTGCATTTGCAGGACCTTCTCCACCTATCATAAGGAAGACAGGTCCACCTCTCTCCCAGAATGTATCATTGACAAAATAGCGCTGCAAACAACAAAATAAATATTAATATTATTTCCCAGTACGTATTACAGCTAATAATTTTTCTGCCACTCATACTAACCTGACTCCATGTTCGCACATCCAAATGATCAAAATGATCTAAAGTTTGATCAAACCACAAAGCGTTTGGTAGAGGCCCACCATCATCTGAACGAGGAACCCCTAAATTCCCTCCTCTCGCACGACCCAAATGAAACATTCGCCACGCAGAGGACTCTTGAAACACAAGTATACTCGTAGTTAAAAATCCAAAAGTATACCAAATATTATATTTCTGGACCGTCATCCTGTCACACAAATGCTAGGAGGAGGGCGAAAACGGGCCAAACCTGTGAACTTTCATATAAAATTCATAAATTTAAAAATGTACATTAATAGTCGACTAATTAACGAAAACAAACGAATTGACACTCTCAAAAAAATAGTAAGCAACCAAATGCATTCATACCTGACACCAAACTGTTGGCGGTGTGAGAAGAGTTGTCAAACTAAATCGATGCAACGAACAGTGTTACGTTGATTCTGCAAAACAGTATAAGGTTGATTTATGCAACTACTCATTTAGCTTCGCCAGCAATTACACGAAACCAAACTGTTCCTTTTAACGCGCATTTGACGAAACGCCGCGTCGCTTGCGAGCCGGGAATGTCTTCTCTTGGGTAAGTATACTGTGTAGGGTTGCGGGAATCAGCTGTTCGCTGTCGCTGAGCACACCACGCCCCGTTTCCCCTCTGCTTCGCCAAAGCTTCCCCCCTTCCTTCATTCTCGCTCACACTGACAGGCCTCGCCAGACTAAAGAGGTCATCACATCATTTCTCTATGGCCTCGCCTCCACCGTTTCACGAAATCGCCTTGGCAAATTATATCAGTTTTCTTTTCTCTTTTTCGCGATATGATAGCGTTGTTGCAGTAAATCAGAATAATGAACAACAAATGAAATTGCCACGCTTTCACAACCGCTAATTTTAGTTGACATTATGTTCTAGTCCAAATTTTTGGATGATTTAGCAATCTGCTAAGTCCCACTCAGCTCATTCTTTTTTGTTACGTAAAGGAAAGAGAATACAGGGCTCGTCAACTGAAGGAATTTAATTCCCGTTTTGTCGGAAAAGATTGACCAATATTGATTAAAAATGACTATTAGCAATGTATTTACTTTTAATCTTCCATTAAAGGTTGTTTTGTTTTTTTGTTTTAGGTTTAAGTCATTTACAGTAATAATGTACTTAGCACAGTGCAGAAAACATTTGCAGTAAATAAATACCAAGCATCATTCGGGAAGATAAGATCACATTGGATCACATGGTATTACACACTGGATTCTCTTACCTTAATGGAGGCTAATCGATTCTATTTTCGTGGAGATTCTTTATGTAATAACTACTTTTTCGTAATATTAACGTAGCCCCTCTAAGCAGAGGATCTCAATTTCTCATTGCCAAAACCAATTTCGAAATTATCTCACCTGTTCAAAATACTGAATGTCATTATGGGCTTCCGGGATTTATGGCTAATTGTTTCCTGCTTATTCTCATGGTGCATGATAATGTGGACAACTAGGATTTGGCGCGGAAGAACTGAACACAAAAGTCCTCCGCCGCGCGTGTAGCTTTCGAATCATACGTGGGTGCAAGCAAAAACAGGACATAAAATGGATGTTTTCATGATACATTGATATTTTAACATTCCACTTCACCTCCACATTATTGTTTCCCGTTTATATTCAGAAATACTTCTTGCCAAACAACTTGCATCGTACCAATTTGCACAAACCAAG